TAATGACCCTGCACAGGGTTTCCGAGGCTGCAAATCTTTACCGGAGCAGAAAACCTCATCTTTCTCCCGCGGGACAGCTGGTAGTTTGGAACTGCTGATATTGAGGTTAGCACTACGCTACCAGAGCTCCTTAAGCTAACAATAGTATTGTCCAGAAAGTGTATATGGAAAGCAACTTGTGAGATGTTGGACTAGCAGCAGAAAATTGCTTGGGGGACACAGCTTTTATTTTCTAGGGAAAAAAAATCATAGAACTGCCAAATCTTTAAACTCTGAACTCACCATCCCGCATGTCCATTGCAGTTAGGACTCTTGAAGCAAAATTCCCACCAACACTGGAGTTCTTTCCATCCCAAATAAGTGTGCCCTGCCCTGAGGGAAAGAAAACTGGTTTGCAAATCACCTTCGAGTTTAGAAAGGTTTTGTTAATTGTTGTTTTGTTCCAGATGATTGTTTTCATTTAATAAAACCTAATTCTATTGTTAGGACTTTTGGTGTGGTGCTGTAGGCGATGGACTTTGAATCCCAAGGTCGCCAATTCAAACCCATCAGCTGCTCCTTGGAAACCCTATACAAGGTTGCTGAGTCAGAACCGACTGCAGGGCACTTAACAACAACAACAAGAATTCTGTTGTTAAGGAACCCTGGTGACTCAGTGTTTAAGAGCTCTGCTTTTAACGGAGATGTCTTCTCTGCTTTCTGAAGACTTATATATAGTCTTGGAAACCCTAAAGAGCAGATCTACTCAGTCCAATAGCATGGCTATAAGTCAAATTTTACTTGCTGGCAGTAGAGGTGGGTTTTTTTATTGTGTTGTTAAGCCCAAACAAAATCCATCTCAGAAATACACAGGGCTTCCTTACACTGTTTTTTGCTAGAGTCCTCCTTTCTTCACTCCAGGTTCCTTAAAAAAAAAAAAAAAAAAAAATACACAGGGCTTCCTTACACTGTTTTTTGCTAGAGTCCTCCTTTCTTCACTCCAGGTTCCTTAAAAAAAAAAAAAAAAAAAATCTCTTGACAGTTATAGTTTAAGTGAAAACCAACAAGATATTTATTACATAGAGAAGGAAAATTATTTCCAAAGGTGGCAGGGCATGGATTTGGGGGGTGAATATTGTCTGGCCATTTCCTCTGGGTGTAAGACTTTACTTTGGAATTGAGATTTCTGCTCCGAATCTTTTGTTTCTTACAAGTTAATTAGGAAGGTGTCTTGCACTTCCTGCTTGTGGCCATTAAGGAAAATGATTTCTAAGGCATCTCAAAGACCCACTCTGGTAGGAGTTCTAATGGCCGTGAATTAATTGAGCCCATTGCTGTCTTGGCAAGTAGGGTAATTTATTTTCTCCACTAAATCTAAATTACAGCCTGCATCTTCCCATTCCCCAACCCAGGGCAGGGAAGGACATGGTTTCAAAACTTACCTACAAGGGGGAGAAGAGAAGATGTGACTTTCAGAAAGGCTTCTTGTAGGAGAGGAGAAAACTGATGGAAGCGAATGGCAAAGTTGATCTCACTCACTCTGGCAAAGTGGGACTTTGGGCAATGAAGTACCACTGGGAGTGGTCCTCTCCGAAATTAGGAAAGGTGGCAAAACTGGCTTCAAGAACTAACACTTCAGTGTTTAGAGACATCTGACTGAAAAGGATTCACATTTAACAAAGACTGTTTGTGTTGTTAAAGCCCCAACATAGACAACCCATTGTTGTTGTTATGTTCCATGGAGTCGGTTCCGACTCATAGCGACCCTGTACAGGGTTTCTGAGGCTGTAAATCTTTACGGGAGCAGAAAACCTCATCTTTCTCCCACGGAACCGTTGGTAGTTTATAAATATGTATACACAGGAATCAGATGGCTGGCCAGCTAGAGAAAAAGTTCAGTCTATTAAGATTGAACCTGAAGTCAAGCTGGAGCATAGGGTATAGGAGCAAAATGAATTGTTTCTACAAAGTCAGTCTCAAACTTCCTCTACTACCTACTCCTGTTTATTACACCTTAGTTCGTAAGCAAAGTAGTCCAGCATTGCCTGGTTTTCAGTCAGAGTCCTATGATCCATCTTGATGTACTTGCTAGGTTTTAGAGACCCCTTTTCTAAGGGAAACTCCTCTAACTGAGCTGGGGCTTTGCTATGCTGGGGGCAAGTTCAGCAGGAGGAGAGCAATAGACAATGTTTTTCTTGTTCAAAACCTGCCCAATCTCTGAACATCCATCCATTAGAGTGGGCAGAAACCTCCCAAGTCAAACGGGGAAGTTCAAGGTTTTTCAACCAGAGCATCAGTTCCAACTTGCTAACTTAATTTACTACATTGAACATTAAACCACAAGTGACAGGCTATCTAAAAATCACAAAACTTTATAAGGTTTTCATTCCACACTAATTTTATTTTCTTCATTTTTTAAGATATAATCAGTCATTAAGATACATTTATCAGTTGGAATACGGAACAGAAGTCCAGCACAACACAAAACCGCAAGGACACTGGGTTTTAGAAACCTGAAATTTCATTGGCTCCAGTTATGCCTTAGAAATATTTTTGAAGAATTAGTTTTGAAATCATAGAAAGTCATAAAAAAGTATTTTTTCTTCTTTTTTAAAAATTGGTATAGTTTTCCTCCCAGAGAACAATAAGGAAAATGAAAGCATTTGAAAGTGGCACCTGTGGTGTGGTTGGTACCTAAAGTAGATAGAGGACCCAGCCAAACTCTTGCAAAAAGTCATCAACTTCATCACCTGGCCTTTCGTTAATGTCCATTCTGTTAAGAACTTTCACCTTCTTCCTAATAGTGACAATCTCATCAACAAACTGTTAGTGCCTATTGCCACCAGCAAACACTCAAATTTTATCAGAAACATGTCTTAGGGTTCGAAAAGATAAAAATTTCTCTTTTTTTCCCCCTTTTCTTTCTAATATCCCTTCCATTTGAGCATTTTATAGTACTGCATTTTGATGTCAACATTCCACCACTGGCAGTCTACCTTGCCATACCAGGCCAGGATGGCCTCCCTGGTTCTTCTCCTTGCCTCAGTCAGAGACTGTCTTGAGTCTGTGAACAGTGTGGATAGGAGACACACTGGCCTCACCAATCACAGGCTCAGGAGAGCAATTTTCTTACAGTTGGGCTGCCCTGGGTAGTTGATGCCAGAGAACCAAATGGGCTCACTCTAAGGAGTTCCACACTAACACCAGCACCCTTAGCTCATCAGATTTAATGTTACTCTAAGGCGAACAGAGTCTACAGTCATAGCAGGGTTCACATACACCTTAATGGTGAAGATCAGAAGATGATGGGTCGGGTGGGGGCTTTTTGATTGAGGAATGACTGGGAAGAATGAGGAGGGGTCAGGGCTGTGATTCCCAGCTCCCTAGCACCAGGCCCCTAGAACTGGGCCCAACTTAGTTAGCTTTGCTTTGAGCCCACTCCATCACCTAGAAATCATACCATGTTGTTGTGGGCTGCGCCTTCTGAAGCTCTGAATTTGTTAGGGAAAAGAGCCCTCTTAATTTGCCCCCTCTCAGTTCTCTGTAGTTGGCAGCTTGGAAAAGAAAGTGAAACAAAAGTCCCTGGGAAAGTGAAATTTTCAATTAATTGGTGTAAATAACTGGCTGTGACGGGCGGTGACTACAAAAAAAAAAAAAAAAACGCTAGGGGCTGATTCGCTGCGGGGTACACAAGCTTCCCTACAGGCGACTAGCGGCCTTCTTCCAGGTGCTCTCCACTGGGTGTTTCTGCGGAGTAAGGGGGACCATGCTGGGACCAGGGAGTCCAGCTTGGGAGGCGACACTGTTGGTTAGAGGGTGGAGACGTATAGTAGGGACTTTTCTCGCTCAGGTAGATGGGTCAAGGCCAGGTCTTTCGTTAGCTTGTTTTACTTGTAAGTCTTACCGTCAGCCCCCAAAGCGTTTAGTGGGAATTTCCCGGGAGAACAGGATGTGTGTTTCCGGAGTATCAGCCCCAATTGCGCACGGCTTGATTCGTAGAAATCTCTGTGATACCATGCCTAAAATGTTCGGTTGTTGTTAAGTGCCATTGAGTCAGATCCAACTCAGCGCGAACCTGTATAGGGTTTTCAAGGAGTGGCTGGCTGGTGGATTTGAACTACCTATTTTGTGTTTGGCAGTTCAGTGCTTATCGTACAGCGCCACTCCAAAATGCCGGATGTTATTGTTAAGTGTGTGGAGTAGGTTCCGATTCCTGTATAGGTTTTCCAAGGAGCGGCTGGTGAGCTTGAACCGCCGACCTTGCAGTTCAAATCGACCTTGCAGTCCAGCGTATTAACCCGCAGCGACACACCAAGACTCCCAAATGCCTGGTATAGGAACTCCCTCGGGTTTAGGGCCTAGAAATTGACTAATCCAAAGGGTTACGCAACAAGGTAAAAGTTGATCTCTTTCACATTCTGACCATCTCTGTCCTTTGGCATCGTTTAGTTATGCTGTTCCGAGAGGCGAAGAGAGGTGGCAAAAGGTAGCCGGGCCAGTGACAAGGAGCAGGCCTCGGGGCTTGCTCGCTGCAGTTGCAGACTGGGCCTGGGATGGGCCATCGCGCAATCAGCTCGTGGGGGTGGCTGCTGAGCCAGGGCCTGGGTCGGGAGAGGGCGGGCGGGGGAGGTGGGCTGCTCAAGGGGCTGGGGAGGGGTGGGACCGGGGGTGGGTGGGTCCGACCGGGCTGGGGCCTGAAGCCAGGCTCCCCCGCGCCCCCACCCCCACGTGGCCCCGCACAGCCAATGGCGCAGTCCCCGCCGGGCGCCCTCGGGGCGGAAGGCGGCCCCCCAACCGGCTCAGGCCCCCTCCCAACCTGAACTTCGTTTTTATAAACGTCCCGCGATGAACTAACCTGTTGAAGGGCGGGCGGGAGGGAGGCGGGAGGCTCTCAGAGCAAGAGTGGGAGAGAGAAAGAGGGCGGGAGCGGGCGAACGGGAAAGAAAGGAGAAGAGGGAGGAGGCGCGCTGCGCCATGGTGTCCTGTGCAGGGCCGGGGCCGGGACCGGGCCAGGACTGGCCATGAGCCGCGCCGGGAGTTGGGACATGGACGGGCTTCGGGCGGACACCGGAGCCACCGGGGCCGCCCCGGCCTCCTCCTCCTCCTCAGTGGCGGCGGCGCCCGGACAGTGCCGCAGTTTCCTCTCCGCGCCTGTTTTCGCCGGGGCGCACTCGGGTCGGGCGGCGGCGGCAGCAGCAGCGGCGGCAGCAGCAGCGGCAGCAGCGGCCTCGGGCTTCACCTATCCCGGGGCCTCTGAGCGCGCGGGCTCCACCTCGTCGTCATCTTCGACTGTGACCGCGGCTCGCCCGGAGGCTCCTCCGGTCAAAGAGTGTCCGGCTCCCGCGGTCACCGCTGCCGCTGCAGCGCCCCCGGGAACCCCAGCACTGGGCTACGGCTACCACTTCGGCAACGGCTACTATAGCTGCCGCATGTCACACGGCATGGGCTTACAGCAGAATGCTCTCAAATCGTCGCCGCACGCCTCTCTGGGAGGTTTCCCAGTGGAGAAGTACATGGACGTGTCCGGCCTGGCCAGTGGCAGCGTTCCGGCCAACGAAGTGCCCGCGCGCGCCAAGGAGGTGTCCTTCTACCAGGGCTATACAAGCCCCTACCAGCATGTGCCTGGCTACATCGACATGGTGTCCACCTTCGGATCCGGGGAGCCTCGACATGAAGCGTACATCTCCATGGAGGGCTACCAGTCCTGGACGCTGGCCAACGGGTGGAACAGCCAGGTGTACTGTGCCAAGGACCAGCCACAGGGCTCCCACTTTTGGAAATCATCCTTTCCAGGTAGGGAGATGGAGCAAAAGAGACCAGGAGGTAGGGAAAGGGAAAGAAAGGACTAGGAGTGTCCCCTCTCTTTGGAAGTGGACCAGACCCTTGGTCAAGTGGAACAGAGTTTGCCGGGCTTGTGTGAAATCTGTAAATTCCTCCTTAGGTTTTATGTTGCTCACACTCTTTTCCTTCGTGTGTGTGTGTGTGTGTGTGTGTGTGTGTGTGTGTGTGTGTGTGTGTGCCCGCGCGCGCGCACGCATAAGCATATTTTCCCTCTAAAATTGAGACTCTTTGCTTGGGCCTCTTACTCTTACCCAACAAGGCCTCAAAGCTAAGAGGTGTCACAATGTTGTATCCCCATTTTAATAGTACATTACTGTCCCAGGGTGCGACTAAATCTTATAACCCACAAGTTTCAAACACAGATACACAGGAAATGAAAGATTCAGCAAAAGATGTGGGTTTGGGTTGTGTGTTGGTTTTGGTCTGTGTTTGTGTGTGTGACCCGTGCTTGCAGAAACGGTTCGTGTGAACATTCACCAATAAGCATGCCATAAAATTGTTAACATGCAGGTTTGCTAAAATGCCAGTTTGAGAAATCATGAAGATCCATCCAATCTGCCTTCACTTTGAAGTACAAAAATATTTCCTTAATAACTTATAAATAATGTCTGTGTAAATAATAATAAAGTATAAGCAAGCTTTTCTTTATTCACTGTACTCATACCCTAAAATGTACACCCATAGTCCCCAGCTGAACACTCCATACTCCACTCTAATTTTTCCCATTCTGTTTTTTATGCCAGGGGATGTGGCTCTAAATCAGCCAGACATGTGTGTCTACCGCAGGGGAAGGAAAAAGAGGGTGCCGTACACCAAACTGCAGCTCAAAGAACTGGAGAACGAGTACGCCATTAACAAGTTCATTAACAAGGACAAGAGGCGGCGAATCTCGGCTGCCACGAACCTATCTGAGAGACAAGTGACCATTTGGTTTCAGAACCGAAGAGTGAAGGACAAGAAAATCGTCTCCAAACTCAAAGACACTGTCTCCTGATATGGGCCAGGTTGCCCAGAGAGTTTAAACATCTTAAGTTGTCTCCAAAAAACTTTTTGAAAGACTTGAATATGTATTTAATTCCCAAACTCTTGCCAGTGGTGGCAAACTTTGTGAATTTCTTTTCCTCTTTCCCATATCTGGCTCTAAAATCTTTTGCTGCCCAACCTGAATTTGTAGTTCTGTTCCTTGCTTGTTTATTATTGGCTTTTTTCTTGTCTAGGTTTATTTTTATGACATTTTTAATGTTCTGTTTCTCCCTCCAGGCCAGTATATAAAGGACTTGACATGTTTTTAATAATCCTACCAAATGAATTTCAGAAGTGTCATCCGGATTTTAGAGTTTCGTTTTTAAAATAACTTTATATGTCTGTTTCCAGCACTGATTATCTTCATAATCCATTAAGGCAGAACAATTTGCAGTCATTCATATCCTATAATTGGGTAATTGAATCATTAGCTCTCCTCAGTCCCCCTGAGGCAAGTGGAAACAGCCCTGGGCTGGTAGTGCTCTGGGTCACCCACAAAAGTCTAAAACCAGAGGCTGAAGGTACTGTAGTGGCTTTAAAGACAGCTACCTGTTTGAATAGAATTGATAATAGAATGAAGATTTTAGGTCTTTCATTTGCTGATTTAGTTGTGTGGTTTTAATACACTTTGCTTAGTATAATCTTTAATTTGAAAATAAGTGTGTCTTCAAGGGTGCCTTCATTTTTCCAGTTCTAGAAGCGGATATTTAAATGACTGCACTTGGCAGGACCACTGATATTTGGTATAAGTGGTCCGTCCCCCTCTTCTTGGCCTTGGGCCTGTGGGAACTCAGTCTCCAGAAAGAGGCTACAGCACTGTGACCATGGAAGGGGACATTTATACACAAACCGATTCAGAACTTGACGGAACAAATGCATTTGTGGTTTCTTGTGGAGCTTCAAAGCATTTAACAAAAGTGAAAGATTCCTGGAGTTCTAAGGTCCAAGAAGAAAAAAAAAGGAATATGTTTCTGAAAGTGACAATAAGTAATGACTTTTAAAGTGCTGCATATTTATACAACTGAGAGTTTATTTTTGTAGATGCAATGTCTGTGAGCTGGAATACACAGGTTGAGCTTCAGACGTTTAAAAATCACGGTTTACTCCTAGGGAGATGCAAATAAACAGAACTCTCATATTGCCTCTGTGTCTTTATACATTTGTTTTCTTTTCTTTTTATATTCTTATTTATTATAAAATCTTGCTGTCTGGAACACACTTGTGTTCTCTATATATACATGAAGGACACTTATTCTCTGAAATTTAGTCTCTGAAACCTCCATGCTCCCGTTTACACCATTTTCTGCCTACATTCCCATAGCCTTAGCATAAGTAGGAATATCTTTCAATGAAGGTATCATTTGTGGTGTCTAAAGTGATTTTGTTTTTTACCAAAACAATACCCAAAAGTGTAATAAAATTTTACTGCTCTTTCAGTATCATTAATTTATTCAAATAGTTTAATTTAACATCAACAGTACTTGTGTGCCTAGCTATAGAAAAACTTGATTGGGTGGGAGGGGGGATTTTTCATCTAGAAAGGTCATTATAATTTTCTGTTCTAGAAAGATCATGAAATTAGAAGGACAGACACATATTTAACAATAGGAAAAAGAAGCCATAATTTTACACCCTAAACATCTAGACACAATTTGTAGTTACTAGGAACTTTTCTTTTTGAGGCCTTTTGCCACTCAGGGAAATGGCCGCTGAGAGTGACTTGTCTTTGTTAGCGCCCAGCTCAACCAGTTTAGTGGTGACTAACTTTACTTTGCGATCTGTAACTTAAACACAAAACCTCATACAATATGTAAACTCTGGCACCAGGCCTTCCTTAGGGCTTTTCGAGAAAGCGCTGAGACCCAAGGCCTGAAAGCTACTTTCGTTTTCTCTGGCTCAGTTTTATTTCTTTCATGTCTTAGAGCTGACTGTGGGCGACCAACTTCGTTTTAATTGAAAAATAGAAAGTGACTGCAATTCTATCTCCGGAAAATAAATAATCCCTGATAATGAGGACACATGGTCTCTGGAAAGATCGCTAACATTTTCTTTTTATTGTTTTTCTCACAAATACGTGTTTTCATCTTAAAGGGGCCTGTTTTTCCTTCTTCCCCTTCGCTGATCCTCCCCCTCCCCCGCCCCCTATTTTTTGGAAATTTCAGACTCCTAGGCCTCTCTCCATTTCCCAGGTACATTTCTTAGGTTTCCCCATCTTGGGTGGGGGATTGCCTCGGGGTTTTCTTTTCATCTGAGTTTGCATGCCCTCCGCATTGGAGAAATGGGAGGCTTGTCGGAGATTTCAAACTGCGCTCAAATGCTCTCCGGTGGAATTTGAATTGACGGCTAAATCAATAACAGATGAAGATTTAGCTGTTTATATACGTTCTTTTTATATTCCCAATTGCGGCGGGAGAAAAGGAGCCGGCGAGTGGCCAGGCCCTGGATGGGAGACTCACGCGGAGCCCGGGAGGCGGGAGGGAGTTGAGTCTTGGATATCCAGAGGCCGCAGGGAAGGCATCTCAGAAACCTGCCGCCTATGGGGGACAGAGGCCCACGCATTACGCGAGATGTAAATGCTGAAAGTTGTATTGGAGGCTGGACACGCAGCCAGACAATGGGGTGGCCGCGACACTTCCTCGCGCTCGGCAGCTCGCAGGGTCCCTCTGGTTCCGCTGCCCGGATTAGTTTTGCCCTCAGGATCTCTAGCTTTCTGAGGTTCTCTGGCGCGCCTGGCAGTGGGCAGAGACGGCAAGGGGCTGGCAACCCCAGGCTGTTCACGCTGCTCTTCACTGTTGATCTTGACTGTGCGGCGGCGACTCTCCAGGCGTGGAGCGCGCTCGCCATCTCCTGGGCGTTCGGCGGCATTGGCGAAGCTCGCTTTTCAGCTCCGCGTCCAAATCCTCTTTCCTATTCTTCCTCTCACAGGCCAAGTCTCCTAAACCCCAGCTCCCACCCACCCCACCGGACCCTCCACCCCCCGCCTTCAAGTCCTCTACTCCCGGCTCCTTGCATTTGACCTTGCCTGCGCGGCCTCATAAACCCAGGGGATAAAATGGGGCGGTTGGGTTCTGTCTGGGGCCAAGGAGTAACAGAAGGAGTACAGTATTTTCTGTTTCTCACTTAGTTCCTTTCGGTCTTTTCTCCCGAGAGGCAAACTGCCGCTATGAGATTGTTCAAGGATTCCGAGGAGGTATTCCTGGGCTTGGGGTGCTGGGAGAATTGCAGTGCTCTGAGTTGGGAGGAAGGGAAACTGCAGCCAGTTATGGATGGATCCCTGAAGGTTAGGATCTGGGGAAGCTTCGGTACCTTGAGAACCGAAATGGTTCCCCAAAATGAGGGGTTATTGGGGCCTGAAACCTGAGTACTTTAAGTCCCTGAGAATTAAGGTAAAGATCCGCATGAAAGGATCTGTAGCTTTGCATCTCTGTAAGACTGAGCTCTTAGGGAAATGAGTGGAGCCCTGAGGAGTCCTGGCCTTGCCCCCTCCCCCCCCCCCCCCCCACCCCGCCTCGTCTTAGAGCTGGAGGAAGAAGTCGTTTGCGTTCCCTAGAGCCGCCCAATTGGTCGCCATAACTCACACAATAAAGTCGCCGCGCGGTGGTCAGCCTTGCCCTCCGGCGGCGCCTGTGTGGTCTCTCCCAGAGCTGGCAGCTTTAACCAATTCCAGCTTGGCTTCGGAGCCGCGGGGAGGGCTGCAGGCTGGGGCGGGCGTCCATCACAAGGTCGCTGGAGGTCTATGACGGAAGGGGAGAACCCCTAGCCTGCTGACCAGACCGGACGGCGTGCCGCCAGGTCTGCGCACAACACTTCCCTGGTCCTCCGAGAAGACAGCGCTACCCCACTCGCCTCTGTGTTCGCAGGACCCTCGAATTCCGATCAAGAATTGCTGCTAGCTGGCTTCCTCGGTATGCCCTGCTGTTCTCCAGCCGGTGGCTCTGGTTCTTCTGCTTTTCCACACCCTGTGGAGGGAACTCATCCTGCTCTGCCAACCACGGGTTGGATGGATACCTGGGAGTTGTGGTTTACAGGGTGTTGTTGTCAAGGTGACTCCTGGAGAAATGTATCTTTGGTCAGACTGGCAAATCATCAAGCTGCTTGTACCCTGGGTCGGCATTCTCCATGGATCTGGATGGCGACTCCCTAGGAGCACAGGAGTGAAGTCTCCTCTGAGCTCAAAACTTGGGCAGCGTTTGTGGTGCCTTTCTTCGCTTTCAGCAAGCAGTTTTACGCTGTTATATCCCGCCCTGGCACAGAAGTCATTCCAGAGAGCTTCTATGGAGGGTGGGGATGGAGCTATAAGTGGCATTGCTAAAGATAGGCCTGGGGGCCCCTCAGGACAAGCCCTGGGGCACGCGTTATTGGAAAAAGGCCTCAGCCACAACCTAGAAATAAGCCGGGCCCAGGTAACCCATGGGAAATGGCAAAGCCATTCAAGACCAGAAAGGGTCCCAAGGGACAGCTGAGCCAAAGGCGCCCTCTGGCCGATACCCCCAATCTCTGAAACCGGGCCCAGAAGTCTTCGACCTCGCTCAATATCCCTGGTCGCTGCAGGGCAGCCTCACCGTTCGCCAACGAATATTGCGGGTGTTATCATAATACCCTGAAGGGGGGGAAATGGGTCGGGGGATGTAGGCGGTGCTGAAATGACCGGCTTTGAAGAACCTGCAAGCAAAGTTTTGTCCAATCGTCTGAGCCTGTCCTCTTATTCCCGGTTGTAACTAAATACTGCTGCGAGTGCAGCCGAGGCCCTTTGTTGGAGATGTGTGAGCGCAGTCTCTACAGAGCGGGCTATGTGGGTTCGCTTCTGAATCTACAGTCGCCTGACTCCTTCTACTTCTCCAACTTGCGGCCGAATGGAGGCCAGTTGGCCGCGCTTCCCCCCATCTCGTACCCGCGCGGCGCGCTGCCTTGGGCCACTGCGCCCGCCTCCTGCGCCCCGGCACAGCCAGCCGGCGCCACAGCCTTCGGTGGCTTTTCTCAGTCTTACTTGACCGGTTCCGGGTGCCTTGGCCTACAGCCCCCGAGCGCCAAAGACGGAACCGAAGAACAGGCCAAGTTCTATACTCCCGACGCGGCCACTGGGCCTGAGGAACGCGGCCGTGGGCGGCCGCCCTTCGTCCCCGAGTCTAGCCTGGCCTCCGGGTCCGCTTCCCTCAAAGTGACCAAGTACGACTACGCGAGTGTGGGCCGCGCGGCGGCGAGCTCTGCCACCTTGTTAGACGGGACCCCCTGTGCTGCCGCCAGTTTCAAGGACGACGCCAAAGGCCCGCTCAACTTGAACATGACTATGCAGGCGACCAGCGTCGCCTCTTGCCTGAGACCTTCGCTGACCGACGGTAAACGGTGGCCATGCTCCTTGGGCCAGTCTGGGCAGGGAAGGGAGGTGGGATGGATGGGAGAGAGTGTAGGGGAGGGAGCCGCTGGGGGCGGGCAGGCGACTGGGAGAGGGCTGAGCTGATGTGGGCTGGGGCTGTGTTGCAGGCCTGCCGTGGGGGGCGGCCCCGGGGAGGGCCCGCAAGAAGCGGAAACCCTACACGAAGCAGCAGATTGCTGAGCTGGAGAACGAATTCCTCCTCAATGAATTCATCAACCGTCAGAAGCGCAAGGAGTTGTCCAACAGGCTGAACCTCAGTGACCAGCAGGTCAAAATCTGGTTCCAGAATCGGCGCATGAAGAAGAAGCGCGTAGTGCTGCGTGAGCAGGCGCTGGCGCTCTATTAGGCGCCGGAGGCCGCAGCCGGGCTTGCTCAGCCATTTGGGGCTGAGGCCTGGCGTGGGGAGGAGCTGGGGCTGGACTTTTCCTTTGGCCCTTTCTCTGCTGGTTCCCCGCACACCCACACCCCACAATTTCCAGCCCCAAAACCACCAGGAGATTTTGAGACCAGGTCACTCTGTTCTTTCCCCTCTATCTCAGTGGTATTTGATGCGCGTTCGAGTCACAGCACAACCTTGATCTTGAGGCTTCCTCGGAAGAACCTATGGTCACCTGTCCTGGCTTTGGGTCGGGTGGTTTACATCAGATTCATTTTCGATGCTTTATACTTGGATTTTTCCGTTTCCTCCGGGTTAGTCTTCCTTTCTCCCTCTCCCAGCCCCTTCTGCATTTAGCAGGCACCTAGCTAGAGCTCAGAGTGGAAGTGAATTTAGGACGGCTTTTAGACCGAGTAGACAAGGTTGCAGCCTGATTTGGTCTCTCCAAGACTGAAGCAAAGCCAAGATCTCCAGTGGAGGAAGGAAAGGGTGCTACCTTCCCCCTCCTATCTGCCCAGGCTGGTTTGAGAGGACAAAAGCCACCCTAGACCTTCAGACTTCAGAAACAAAGGGGAGGAGATTGGAGGGGTGGCCAGACAAACTCAGAGACAACCTTGGAATGCAGACTGGACTGAACCCCTCCAACTGGGTGGAGTGGGCTGGAGAATTCTTCCCTAGGCTAGGGTAATGTCCAGACAAGACTTACAAAATCCCCCTCTTCTCTCACTTCCACACACATGTAGGCTGTTTGATGCACCCAGCAACTGAACCCACAGCTAACAGCTCTCACCCCTGGTGAGGGGAGCTGCCAGTCTGCTTTGAGGCCCAGTTGCATTGGAAGGAGAGAAAGATGTGGAGGAAGAAGGGAGACCTCCTCTCTGACTGCAAATATGGCTTTCTAAAGGTCAACATATCTTTCTTTCTCGAATTACCTTAAAGTACCACCACTGGGAGAGAGAAGGAAAAGCTTAGCTATCCAGGAAGCAAAGAGGAGACCCCTCAGAGTCACAGCTCCTCCTTATTGCTCTTGACTGAGCAGAGAGGACCTGAAGCTTCCCTTTCCTCACCTTCTCCTCCCCCAGTCGACTCCACCAGAGGTCAAGCCACCATCCGTTTCAGAGCCTGGTGTCTGGCCAGTCACAGCACAGCCTGCAAGGCCTTGGTCCCAGTCAGGCTTGGGGGGGTGGAGTGGGGGAGAAACAGGTTGTCAAGGTGTTCAGCCTTAACCTCAGTGAACCAAAGGGTCATCAAGTTCCTGTCACCATCCCTGTCTCTTCTTGCTCCTGTTCTGCAAAGCAGCGCCCCCAACTCCCAGCGAGATACACAACAGTCTTAGGATTCAAGATTCCTTACAAAAGTCTAATAGCTTTGGTGGTGACCCAGAACTTCAACCAGGAGTGAACCAACCCCTCACAGGGCTCCCTGATCACCACTCACTCCCACTGACTTCTGCATTTCTCTGCTATCTAGTAGTTGTCATGCATGTTTTGTTTTGATTTGATTAAGAACAATAGCTTGTATATATCAGACAGAAATGTTTTGATCAGAAATAAATACCCAGCATCCAGCTATACTGTGAGGGAGCTGATGTTGATTTTTCAAACAGCTTCTGATTCCCTCCTCATGTTTCTGAGGACACCGGAATTTGTTTTTCTTTCCTGCTTGCTGTTTCATGGTCAGCATTGACTGTTCTTTAAATGAGAAAATGGCTTCCAAGGCAGTCAGGAAATGGTGTATAAAAAGCCTGTGAACAAAATGTGTATGAAACATCTATAGGAGGGCAAGCCACAGGCAGATTTGAGTGTGTCTCACACACTATAAGGTTTGCTGCAGGCAAGCTTGCTGATTTCTGGGGAGTCTGCTATAATGTGAAGTTCCTCAGATTTCAATACAAAACATTCTTCCCACCAAATTTTGGCCAGACTTCTCCAGAACTGGCTGTCCCTGCAGAAATCCTCCATACTGGCACTGGGCAGTGAGTCCACCAGTCCTGCTTCCTTGGAAATTGTGGCCTCAGCCAGCACCTGAGCCATGGCTCAGGTCGTGAAATGTGGGATTCTTTAGTACACACTTTCCCTTTGCAGTGCCCAGCTTGCTCAGAGAATGATCAGCGTTTATCAAAAGGGAACATTAGCAAAGGAGCTACATTTCTACTAGCCAGCCTTCCATGCCCCAACTCTCTTCCCCTTAAGCGAATTTGATGAGTATTTTAAAAATATTTTTTAATCGTTTCTTAAAATAATTTAAAAAAAAAAAAAAGAGAGAGCCTGCAGAGGCCTTTGAGCAGAAATGTTTCCCCACCTGATTGGGCTCAGGGAGGAGGTGCCAGGTCTTTAGAATTCGAGTCTGCGGTGGAGGATTGCCCGCTGGAAAACAACTGAACAAAGGCGGAGGCCGCATTCACACCGCGGGTCCGAGTGCTAGGGAAGAGACTAAGAACCCAGACTTACTCAGGCACAGGCCTTAAGACAACACACGGAGGCCTTTTCAACCACCACCACCACCCCCGCAAAAAAAATGCCATTAAATCACTGAGTTCGTTTCCTTTAGTCTAGGGTGTTGGGGGTGGGATAGTCACGGAGACCACTCCCCAAAGAGAATTAAATTATTTAAAAGGAAAGCTGGTCTTTCTGTTGGGGGTTCGGGAGTTTTCCAAATCGTTCCCCCTTACTGATTCGCTCAAGTGCAAAGATCGCAGCACTACCTTTCCTTCCCTTGAGGATGTCCTAGCCAGCCGTAATTCGTAACCACTGAAAAATTCGCAAGACACAAAATGCCAGAGAAATGATGCTGAAATCTGAGGGCTCAACTTGCCTTAGCACAAAGACAATCGCGTGCTCCAAAATGCCGCAGTTCACGCGGGCCTCTTGGAAAAGAAAAAGGTTTTAGAAAGAGGAAAAAAAATGGCCCTCATCTCAGAGGGCCCACCGGGGAATGTTTTTAAGGGTTGGGGGCTTTCCCCAAAGGAGGTGAGCTGGGGAGTCTTCCGAGAGAAGGGAGGGCGGAGGCGAAATCCGGAACCGTTGTAAATATTCAGGTCTGCGTGTGTGGGGGTGTCCCTCCACCCCACCTCTCCCAGCTGCGTCCACCTCCCTCAAATATGGAGGGGAGACATGCGGCCTGTCCGATTAGTCCTAGGACAAAGGTGATCTCGCCACATTTTTTGTTTTCTTGTCGCTTTATTTGAGGAACCCATTCCGAAGGCTCTGTAGGGAAAGGACTGTCTCTGGGTGCCCCCCCTCCCTTTTCTCTTCTTTCGTTTCCTAAAAGAGCATAAATAATTAAAGTTTGGCAGAGAGGAAAAGCTTCCTTGCAGAACTGTAGTGGCAATAAATGAAATGACTCAGAATCCCTTCCCCAGTCAGCTTTTACGAGAGCTGCCAGACAGTGTCTGTTCACGTTCTCCAGATACCAGGGGCGCCCTGACAAAGTTAAGGTCAAGTTAGTGTCTTATCTTGGGTGGCTCAAAAATACCGCATCGCGTCCTGGCGCAGCGCGGAAAGCTACCTCTTTTTGAGTTGCAGGCTGCGCCCAGAGGCAGGGGTGCGCGTCCTGCGTTTCGGGTGGGGCCGCTCAGGCGGAGGACAAGGCCATATAGTGCCGGGATCTTCACGGTAGGTTCTGGAGCCTGGCGAGGGGGTCGGAAGGTTGTTTTTCCCTGGGGGCCGGAAACAGGGCTGGCCAAGGGCCGAGGAGGGGGTTGCTGCGTAAGAATGAAGTCTGCAGGGCGGGGAACGAAAGCCTTTGGCTTGTGTGGAGGAGTGGAGATCCACGCTAACGCGAGGAATGGGGCCCGCAGTCCCCTTCCCCTCTGCGCCCGCGCACGGCTGCAGATGGCGCACCCTCCCCCGCCAAAGCCCGGCTCCCGCCGTCGCCATGTCGTTGAACTTGAATGGTTCATCCTCTCCATTCCCCCCTTTGGCAGTCAGCAGGCTCCACTTTGGGGGCGGCAGATAGTCTGAGCCCGGTCCCATGCCGTGAGCAGAGAGGTGGTGCCGGAATTGTGAGCCACCCCCCACCCCCCTGCCCAGACCCCGAAAGACCTGTTCTGAGGGACCCGCCGCCGCTGCCCTGAGTCCTAAGCAGCCGTAGGACCAGTGTGCAGTGTCCAGGGAGCCATTTTAGGAGAGAGATCCAGGGCCGTCGACCAGAAGCCCGAAAGGGAGAGGTTTGGTCTGTGACTGGAGGTGGGGAAACGAATGAACGTGCCTGGGATCTGGACTGAGGAGAAGGGGTGAGCTGCTGCGAGGAGGGGGCACCCAAAGATGGACAGTTTGGGGTGGGGGAGGTTCAGTGGGTGCTCTCCAGTCGCCGCCAACCTATTTACGTAGTGTTGGGGTCGCAGAAGTGGGAGGGAGTGGAGAAGGGAGGAGAAAAGGGAGGGAAGAGAAAGAGAAGAAGGAATATCTGCCAGAAAATAGATTCTAGCTCCGACCACCCGCCTTTTCTCTGCATGGCACCAACACTGCTGAGACCTGGCCCGGAACGGAGCTAGCCCCATAGCTTGCGCCATCGACTGTGGGTCCGTGTCCCAGTGCTGAGATTGCTTGCCAAAGGGTCAGTCTCCTGTCCTTGGTCCTGGGATTTGGGATTAGGAGCTTCTTTTGGAGATACTGGTTTTTCTTTGGAAAGTGCCTTTTTCCTCAGGCAGGAGTCCAGGCCTTGCCTGAACCCATGGGCTCTGAAATCGGGCTGTTGTGGATAAGAAGCAGAGTGGGGCCTTGGAGGCGAGTGGATGGGGGCACTGAAGAACTAGCCTCTAGGCTGGTTGGCACAGAGGGGCTTGAGTTGGGAGCCAGAAACTGGAGGGAATCTCTCCATCGGAGCCAATGAACCTTCTGGGGGACCACCCTGACTGTGCCGGTCCAAAGGCGCCAGAGGGGCCTGGATGTGCTACGCAGGATAAGGTTCCAGGCCAGGCTGGAAATTCCAAGAGTTGAGAAGGGTGGTTGTTTCCTCGTGGAAGAGAGCAGGGTTCTAGGCACCTGAGAAAAGGACTCCAGATCCTTTTGTTCGCCAGACCTCCCAGCTTCCAGGGAGGCTGTGGCCAAGGGACATCCTCCTCCCTTGAGCACTAGAGGAAAGCAGTCAGAGGGAGACAGGGAGAGAGATTGTGACACACCACTTGGGGGAAGGAGAGAGAGAGAGGCTAAGAGAACAGAGCAACACGAAAGGAGCCTAGAAAAGTAAGAGAGAAAGGATGAAAGAAAGCGGGAGGCGAGAGGGCAAAATGAGAGAAAGAAAAAAGGAGAGATGAAAGAGAGAGGAGGGACAGACATGGAAGAAGGAAACCAGAGAGGGTTAGAAGACCAGGTGGGCTCAGAGGCCCAGGCACCGGTGAGCGCCTGGGAGGGGTTTGGCGTGGGATTTTTTTTGAAGCCAGCATTCCCTCCTCTGGGGTCAGAAGAGGAGAGGGCCAATTTCCTACGTGGTTAACGCGCCAAGCAGAGAAATATGTAAATCTGGGCTCACCGCGCCCCAGAGAGCGGCGCAATTACACCCCTTAAACAAGAAGCAACAAGCCCTTAGCGGGCGGGAGAGCTGCTTAGGGTGGCGGCGTCGCTGGGGAGGGAACGGCTGCAGGAAGGGGTGGGGGGTGGGAACCTCACACTCTCACACCTAGTCCCCAGTGCCAAGGGCAGGGACTCCCCCCTCCGATTGCCGCTTCTCTCCCTTCCCCCTTCCTCCTCCCTCCTCCCCCTCCCTCCTCCTCCCTGCCGGCCTCGGTCCGCGTACTTAAAGCGGCGCGGGCGGGCGGACGCGGGCGGGCGGCCCGGCCGGGCGGTGGCAGATGCGACCAGCGGTGGCAGCCGCCAGCCGCGCGCAGGTGACCGGCCTGCGGCGCAGCCTGCTCCAGAAGAGCCCAGGGAGAGCTGGCGGAGAGGGAGGCCCGTCTGCCTCCAGTGCGCGCGCGTCTCGGCGCCAGGAGCCGTCCCGGGGCGTGTTGGCTAGAGCTGATATAGATATAAGGACATTTCTCTCCATGGCGTCACGTGACATAATTACCACCAGAATCAATCAAGATGAATTGCACGTCAGCGCCCGGTGGGGATTTTTGCTTAGTTGATCCTGGCCCAAGCCTCTTGTGCAATCAATGGCTCAGGTTGGCGGCGCGGGGAGCGGCCAGGGGCTCGCCGGCGCGCACGCCGCGGAGCCATGAACGACTTTGACGAGTGCGGTCCGAGCGCAGCCAGCATGTACCTGCCGGGCTGCGCCTACTATGTGGCCCCTTCGGACTTCGCCAGCAAGCCCTCGTTCCTGTCGCAGCCGTCGTCCTGCCAGATGACTTTCCCCTACTCGTCCAACCTGGCTACACACGTCCAGCCTGTGCGCGAAGTGGCCTTCCGTGACTACGGCCTGGAGCGCGCCAAGTGGCCGTACCGCGGCGGTGGCGGAGGCGGAGGCGCGGGAGGCGGCGGCGGCGGGGGTGGCCCTGCTGGTGGCGGCGGCGGCAGCGCTGGGGGCTACGCTCCCTACTACGCGGCGGCTGCGGCAGCGGCGGCGGCGGCAGCAGCGGCGGCAGAGGAAGCGGCCATGCAGCGCGAGCTGCTCCCGCCCGCGGGCCGCCGGCCGGACGTTCTGTTCAAGGCGCCGGAGCCCGTGTGCGCAGCGCCCGGGCCACCTCATGGCCCGGCGAGCGCCGCTTCCAACTTCTACAGTGCGGTGGGTCGCAATGGCATCCTGCCGCAGGGCTTTGACCAATTCTACGAGGCAGCGCCCGGACCCCCGTTTGCTGGGCCACAGCCCCCGCCGCCGCCAGCGCCACCGCAGCCGGAAGGCACTACCGACAAGGGCGACCCCAAAGCGGGGGCTGGCGGCGGCGGCGGGAACAGCCCCTGCACCAAGACGACCCCCAGGCAGGAGTCCAAAGGGACAGCGGAAGGCGGCGATGGCGAGGGTCCCCCAGTGGAGGCGGGGGTCGAGAAAAGCGGCGGCGCAGGTAGGCGGCGGGCGCGGGAGGCCAGGCTGGGGGTCTGGGAGGGGGGGCGAGGGGCGGGGGCCTCCCTCGCTTGCGCCGTTTTATGTGCCACTTTATAAGCGTTCGAAGGGGTTTATACATCCTATAAGATTTTCCGGGCCGTTGTAAACCGTGTTTACGATAGGAAACCAATTTAGGTGGGCTTAAGATAGACTTCGAAAAGAACGTTAATCTCGGCAGAGAGCTTTTGCTCCGTTTTTTGGAGTAAAGGGGCCGCTAGAGAACAGGTCTGCCTTCTGGCGCCCAGTGCTAAGGGGAGGAGGGAGGGCAGATGTGAGTGCGGACACCGGAGCCTCTGACTTTTAAGGGAGGGGAGGGGGGAAGTTTGATCCTTGAACTGGACTTTATCCAAGCTTCTGGCTAACGCGCGCCGCTGGAGTAAAGCAAATGTCCGAGCGCGTTCGTGTCTCTCCTTCAGCCCTCCGGGTTCCAGCTCCCGGTCTGCTTCGCCCTCAGCTTCCTCACCTCAGTGCGGGGCTGGCTGTCTGTGTGTGTGTCTACGGGCGTGAACACACGTCCACGCCCGCACACTCTCGTCTGCCCTCCCATATATCATTCCCCACGACGCCTTTCAGTGGCGGCCAGGGAAGTCCCCAACGGACCAGGGCCTGGTTCTACCGTGACGACCTGGGCGGGCGGACGAGGGTGACCAAGCTGCGGTGTCTCTTAACCCTCTGGTCTCTTTACCTTGCAGTGGCCCCCCAGAGGTCCCGGAAAAAGCGCTGTCCCTACACCAAGTACCAGATCCGCGAACTGGAACGCGAGTTTTTCTTTAACGTGTACATAAACAAAGAGAAGAGACTCCAACTTTCTCGAATGCTAAACCTCACTGACCGGCAAGTCAAAATCTGGTTCCAGAATCGCAGGATGAAAGAAAAGAAATTAAACAGAGACCGTCTGCAGTATTTCACTGGAAACCCCTTATTTTGAGAGCTCCAGGAAGCGCCCCCTAAAACCTCCAACCCCCACTCATCCATCCACCCTCTTCCGCACCAGCCTACTCTCCCCAGGCCCAAGGTTCTTGGGTTTAATGACGCTTCTTCTCTATGGAATTCCACGAGATTCCGATTCCTTCCCACGGTCAACTCAGGACCTCCCAGCGACCACTGCAGCCTGCGGACGAGGCCGGGGACTTGGCCGAGCGGATCCTAATAAGGGGAAAATGGTAAATGCAAAAGTCCCTTTACAATTTTACCGCCAATGTGATGTTGTTGTTCCTCCCCTCTCCCAATCCTCGTGGAGAAGCGGTGGGAACTGTAGGGAGTTAGGCCGCTGAGCTAGAAGGCGCCGGTGTTTTGTTCTGCGTTTAAAGACGCCCCCCCCCCACCTTCGATGAACGCAGATTATTTAAACTCTGGGAAATATACCTTTGGTCTGTCATATCAAGGCATGAGTCACTGTCTTTTTTGTATGAATAAATGGTTTCTAGTAAAATGGAGGTTACAACTTCAATGCACTGTATGAATTTTCCTCTTTGTAGAAGTTTAGTGTTCAATTAGGCTATTCTAGTGGCCAGAGTCCCCCTCCCCCATGAAACCAAAAAACTGGGTGAAATGCTTTCTAATCTCAAAGAAATAAGGGCTGTGATATTTCCCCTCCAGGCTATACACGGGTTTGTAAAATCACTTATTGAGGATGAGACCCAGCCATGCTGATACTGCCTTCTCCAGACCACAAGACTGGCAAGCAGGACCCTAAAGAGAAATTCCTCTACTAATCTAGTGAACTTGGGATTTCTAAGAAGACAAGAAACTATTTTTAAAATTGGTTAGAAAATCCAAATTCCCTTTTAACAGCTGTCAAGAAATCTGAGTTCCTTAAAACAAGAAACCAAAAGTAGAACCCTACATTAAAAAAAAAAAAAAAAAGTTTGCTAACAGCAAGTGGATGGAAAGGGATTGAGTCTTTGCTCTTGTCATTTGGGCCTGGAGTAAGGAAGGTAAACCCCTTCCATGGACTAGGGGCCACAGACTCACTTCTCACTGCCTTTATAGCTTCAAGTTACAGAATGTGGCAAAGGCTGTGCTATGCTTTATGTTGTAGGGCCAGGCCAGGCTGTTTACAAAACCTTGAACTGTCTAGACAACACCATAAAAACCAAAGTTCTAAACAGCTTAATTGGGTTATATTATACACCTTCTGGTGGGCCCAAAGGAGATTTCCGCAATGTGCAATAAACTGGAGGAGTGAGAAAAGCTTTTCTTTCTCTGAAAAGAGTAAAGTGGATCTTATGACTCTTAACTTCTCATAAACTCAAGTATTAAACAAAAAAAAAATCCATAAGCACCTTATGCATTTTCTGAAGAGGCATGCATTTCTAAATGGAAAAAAAAAATTTTAATTGCTAAGTCTTCTTTTTCTTTCTTCTTTTTTTTTTTTTTAAGAAGAAAAACATAAGTGTATAAGTGTATGCCTTTGAACTTCTAAAATGTCAAGGTCATCACCTTTAACCTTTCTGAATAATTAGGCGCCTTAAGGTTCTTCTGTGATTTTCAGCTGCCACCCACTCTCTCACACACATGCTCACACACAACCAGACCCCCACACACATTTATGGCCACACAGAATCGTATTTGGGCTCACCATAAATCTAACCAAATTCCTAGTTTCAGAATCAATAATCCTCATTTCCCTTCAAACACTTGTATAATCCAATAGCATTTCACTTGTTTTTAAAATGCTGATTAGATTAAAATGCTGTCCAGTGATGTTTTCAATACCGTTATGAAATGCTGGGGGTGTGTTTAGGGGGAGTCTTAGATAATGGTTCCATTTGCTCTAATGAAGAGCCACAGTTTTCAAAGCAGGCATTGGGAAGAGGGAATTCTGTTCAGACTTAAGCCTTCCTTATATTTGAACACAGTTTGTCACCTTGTCAAGTAAATGATTGCACTTTCTATGATATGAAACAAAAGAAAACTATATATTTGAATAATATAGAATAGATATAAGTATATATAGATATGTGTAAAAGAAGATATATGTATATAAAGCATTTTTCAACCTTTGGTAAAAGAAAAAAATAGAAACAAAGCCTACAATTGAATAATTTCGTTCCGAAGGAGATTCCTTTGTTTAGAATTCTGGGCAACCTATAAAATGTCAATGCCCTTGTAGTATGAACGTTCCAGGATCTTAAAGCTGGTTTTATTTTTTTCTTTTCCCCATCTATCTTAAAAAAAAAAAACAAACCCAAAAAACCCTGCGTTCTAAATGCAGCAAGCTTGTGTGCCCAACGCTAAAAGGCAAGCAGAACCCATGAGCTGTATTTTGCCGTCTGCAGGACCTTAGAGAGCCACACGGGGGCGCACTCACGTTCCATAAACTGCGTTTGGCCAAGGGGCCGCGGTTCCTTGCATTTCCAATACTGAATTCTAATAGGTGATCTCAATCCGTTAGAAATAGGCTGTGGCTAAGGTGTTTGCTGATTGTTTGTTCTAAGCAGCCAGGAGGTGTGGGAAATTGTATAAAGACGGGGAGGGGGGAGGGGGGAGGAATAAAGTAGATTCTTGAAACAGGCGATTGCCTAATTGTTGTCTCCTTAAGGCTGTTGCAAAAAGAATACTATGATACAACTCGGTGATGTTAAGAAGGTGTTTTAAAAGAGAAATATGTGCATTTTGAAATTGGTCTTGGCTACTGCGAATTAGTGAAACGAAGAAAAACTGGTTTTCTCGTCAATTTGAGGTTGGACATAGATGTGAGGATCCCACCCTCAAAAACCCATTTCGCTTTGAGAAATCTCTGACCGCTTGGAATGATTAAAAGTCTTTTGTTTAAGAGAGATCAGGCCGCCGGCATCCTAGTTGAGTGTGGTTTCAGGGGGAAAGAGATGCGCGCGTTGGGAACCAGGAGTTCGTTCTGGGCGAGAGAGACTGGCGCACGGGACCGTCCTTAGTTAGCAATCTGGATGCGCGGGCATGGTTGTGGTTTGGGCGTCATGGCAGACTGGCTTGCTGCGGTCGCGGGAGGCGGCAGGCTGTCCCCGGTAATGTTTACACCCCCAAGGTGCTGCGGAGCGAGGAACGTATTTGAAGCAACTGAGCTTTGCGTTTGACAAAAGCCTGGCCACCCTTCCAAACTGTCCACTGCCTTGGGGTGCAAAATTTTATTTTGGTACTGGTAGTCGGAAGCCAGCCGTTTTCTTCCCGCTAGTCTCCCCAATAAGGCCTCTGGGTTTTGTGAAGGCCTGTGTCCCTGTCTGCGCGTTCTAAAGTGACTGCCCGTTTCCCCTTGAAGTTCATTGTAAAAGCGCCTGCAGCCCCCCCCCCCCCCCCCCCCCCCCGGGATAAACTCCCGCTGTTTCTGTCTCCCCCAACCCTCCCAGGGTTTTTCGCCCAGGGCTCGCCCGTCCATCCCCTGAGCTGACATCAACTTGAGCAAGGAGTTGGGGTGCCTTGAATATGGTGGTGAGGCGCCGGGCGAGAGGCGTGCATGTTCCCAGGCTGCCGCCTGTCTGACAGTGAGTTCAGTTTAGCTATTGTGAAGCGGCGCAATCAACGTGGGATGAGAAGATTTCCTCCCAAAATTATCGTTGTGTTCCTCCTTAGGCGGCCCCAACTGCAGTTTGTGTGGCAGTGTCAGGCCCTTGGCCTTGGTCAGCAGCCGCGCTCGGACCGCGGCTGTTTGGCGGGTTGGTAGTTTCTTTCCTCCAGGCAGCGCCCTGAACGGGCCAGGACCACTGAGTGCTGCAAACCTGTCCACTCTTAACCATTTAAGGCGTGTGGAACTCGTATAGGGTGGCCATGGTTACCGAGGCACCCTGACTAGAGGAGAAATGGCCAAGTGGGAGCCTTTTGTGTCTGTCACGGAAAAACTTGCAGCCGCTAGCCCTTTTGCAAGTCTTGGTAGACCCTGCAGTGTGCTGATGACTCTATCAGCTTCCCCATTTGTCCCTTAGCGTCTCTTTACTCTGGCCAGGACTCACACATTATAATCCAAAGAAGCTTTTCATTTGTTCCTGGCCACTAGCAGCACCCCCAGCCCCAAGTGGCAGAGCGCCCAGACCACTCAATGTCCGAATTCAGGGTGACTTTAGGAACCCCCAGGTTTGCTTAGGCCCAAGACCACAATTCTTCCGAAATGCAGGAGCACCAAGATGAAAGCCACTTCTTGATTACAAATGCTAATTCCTTGCTAAAGGGATCCTTTGCATTTTTCCCTGGAAAGAACTGTGCCAGAGAGAACGGTGTCGCGGTACAGATATGGGTGTTCATCTCTTTTATGGTATAATATTAATTTATTATTAGTGACACATGCTCTGAGTAATCTAAAGGTGATCAAAACAGCAGCTACTTTGAATACTCAAATACGCAAAATAAAGGCTGGCCTTCAAAATCGCTGCCTTTTCATTATATTTGTTTCATCTCAGCATTAAAGACTTAGGCAAACGTTCTATCCTTCCAAGTCTGTCATTTGCTTTATTTCTATTTTAATGTTGTTGTTGTTGTTGTTTAATGCTTTAAAAATATCCCTCTCAAAATTTGGTAGGTTCTGGCCTCAAGGAGATAGTCTGAAGACAGAAATAAAAAAATAAAAAAATTATATTGAAATTTGTGAGAATAGATTTTAGATTATATCTGATACCTACACAGGATATTTCCCCCCCCTGTGAGTACAGAAGAGACATACTTAAAACCAAATCCAATATAGGCGTGACTTTGGAGTTGACACAGAAAAGCCCCTCATTTCAGGATGCAAATTCTGTCTGCTCTCCCTGGCTCACTGCAGACCTGCCGGCTCTGCTTAGGAATCCATTGTTTTTAACCTGGATGTTTTGTTCATGTATAAATAAAGATTATAAAAGCACATTTGATGGGCATAAAATTCTTGATTAAATTGAACAGCCTTGCCTCTCATGGAAAAGAGAGAATTGGGCAAATCGTGCTCTTGTTAGTTGGCCCAACCAAGATGCAAAGGGGAGAGAGTGCTGAACCGCCAGGCGAATGTGTGGGCGAAGCCATGAGCCCGTGTAGTGGGCACTTTGTCCAGCCCTGGGCACACTGGGCCATGGCGTGGATCCTGATCTCCGTGCTGTGAGAAAGCAATTTTCAGCCCATGAGCAGTGGCTGTTAGCTCTGGGTAGGACCTTAACAGACCAGTCAAAAACTGTTTTTTAACCCTGCCGCCCCCCCAACCTCCCACCCCAGCTTAAAAGCAACCACCTCTGAAGAAAAGTGATGTTTAAACCTCGGGCTTCATTGGCAGTTAGAGGCGCCAGACTTTTAACCTGACAATGATGTTGTATTTGAACAGCTGCGTAAAGGTTTAAAAGGTCTGTCTCATTGCCACCTTGGAGTTTTTTAAAGGGCTTATTGTTTGGGTGTGCTCACTGTTAGGGGACAGGAGGGGACAGGACAGTCTGACTTCCACCAGGCTAGGGAAGATTCCTGGGGAGGGGGAGCAGTCAAAGGGTTTGTTGGAAACGGTTTTTGTGAAGGAGCAGCCAAGTCTATTCTACTCCTCAGAATGCTGGAGCACTTAAATAACTAAAGATCTGTTCTGCTGAAGCAGAAACCCAGTTTGTCCACAAGTTCAGCCTCTGGGCCTGAAATCCAAGGCCAGTCCATGCCCAGGCGGGTATGAGAAGAGAACATGGATGCCCTGTTCAGAGAACTGGTTCACTGTTAGAGTTTCTGGGGCTCTTTCCCTTGTTGGCATCCACGAAGGGAGCCCAGGATGCCTAAGGGTGGCTCCTGTGCTTGGGCCTGGACCCCAGGATCCAGGCAGGCCTTTGGAAATCAAGGTTAAAGCTCCCCGCTGATGCCCCGAGGCCAGAGCTTCCGCAGGGCCTCTCGCCAGCCTGCAACCAGCCAACGGGAGGAAGTTGTTGAAGTTTCTCATAAAACTGTTAGTTTCCATGGTGGTGATGGTGGGTCTATAATGAGCTAGACCACAACCCCAGACCAAATCCTCTTTATATAACTTTCTTATGTCAAAGAAAACTGAGCGCTAAGATCCCCCACACACACCTTTTTTCTCCCTCTTTCTCTCTTATCAAACAAAAGCTTGTCAAATAATTTTAGAAACTGTCCAGAACTATAAAACTCAACTTCTGACAAAAGTATAGCTTTTCATATTTGACAATTTGTGTTAAAACAAAAATTGACCTTCTGGTTAGTAGCGAAGGGGGAAAAATCAATAGTATAATTTTCAATAATTCAGAAAGTGAACGCCATTATGCTAAATCTTAACTATTAATCTTATCCTTTACAAAGTCTCGATTGATTTGTTAATAAAATATCTTCCCGTGTGTGGCAACGGCGGGTATAACTCTTTTAAAACCTTCAGAAGCAAGAAAATTACCAAGTAGCCCAAGAATGTAGATGAGAATTTTATCGATTGCCCTGATTCTTCTTAATATGTATTAATAAATTCCACAACCTTTTGTACCTTGCACTTGTCAGAAGCCAACGCTTTTACAAAATCCATAAAAGGAAAACATATTTTTCTTTGCAGAAGAACCAAATGACATCTTTGCATCTCTCTCCTTGCCGCCTGGCCAGTATCCTAAAACTTGTGGAGTTTCAGAGCAAGTTTTCCCCGCTTTTCTTTGAAATTTCTCTTCTTTCTCTTATCATTCCTTCCTTCCTTCCTGCTGTCTGTTATCAGGGTGTGAGAGAAAACCTTGGTTTCCTTGTCCTGCTGGGAGCCTGAGGGACGCTTTCGCGGATGGCGAACTGTTGGGGAAGGATTGTCCCCTGGCTGTAGGCTCCCTGCAGGCCGGCCCATAGAGGTCGGGATGCGGTTCTTCCGAGCGCCAGAGTTCGGGGAGCCCCCCTGGACGCGGAGAGGCCAGACGCCAGAGTGGACGGGCCGAGAGAGAGGGCAGCGCCGGGGCAGGAATGGTCCTGGAGGCTCTGGGGCCGACGGTTTTGTGGCGACTCGGCCCTCACCGCCCTTCTCTCTGCTCCCAGGGACTTTGGTCAGCGCTTTTGCGCAAGGGCTCTTTTCTGTGAATCCCCGAGGTAAAATGTGTCAGAGCCCAGCAAACTGGACTCACCTTCCCCGACTGCCAGGACCTAAATTTATCAGCTCTCATCCCCCCACCCGGCTATCTCGGTCCCGGTCCTCTCGGGCGCGCTCTGCTTGGGTGTGTGCGGGGAATACTTTGCTTCTCGGTGCTGGCGACAGGGCGCTCCGGCTTCCCCACCCGCGCGTGGTCTCTCAAAGGCCCTTTCGATCGAGCCTCTCCTTCCGCCGGCCGAGCCCGGAGATCGGGGCGGAGGACGCGAGTGGGACCAGCGGGCTAAGAGCCCTAGGGAGGCGGGCTGGCGAGCGGCGGAGAGCGCTGGGTCGGTTGTTTTCAGCGCGCACTATCGCGGGCGCGTAGTAGATGTCGCTGTTGTCCATGCTTACGCGGCCAGCCTGCCGGGCTCCAGAGCACGTGACCCGCGAGGAGGCTGCGGCTCAAGGCCATTTTCAAATCTCATTGGCTTGGTTGTCATGTGGTCGACAGAGGCATCCACAATTACACGGGGAATGTTTTCCTAGAGATGTCAGCCTACAAAGGACACAATCTCTCTTCTTCAAATTCCTCCCCAAAATGTCCTTTCCCAACAGCTCTCCTGCTGCTAATACTTTTTTAGTAGATTCCTTGATCAGTGCCTGCAGGAGTGACAGTTTTTATTCCAGCAGCACCAGCATGTACATGCCACCACCTAGCGCAGACATGGGGACCTATGGAATGCAAACCTGTGGACTGCTCCCATCTTTGGCCAAAAGAGAAGTGAACCACCAAAATCTGGGTATGAATGTGCATCCTTATATACCTCAAGTAGACAGTTGGACAGACCCGAACAGATCTTGTCGAATAGAGCAACCTGTTACACAGCAAGTCTCCACTTGCTCCTTCACCACCAACATTAAGGAAGAATCCAATTGCTGCATGTATTCCGATAAGCGGAACAAACTCATTTCTGCTGAGGTCCCTTCGTACCAGAGGCTGGTCCCTGAGTCCTGTCCCGTTGAGAACCCCGAGGTTCCAGTCCCGGGATATTTTAGACTGAGTCAGACCTACGCCACCGGGAAAACCCAAGAGTACAATAACAGCCCCGAAGGCAGCTCCACTGTCATGCTCCAGCTCAACCCTCGCGGTGCGGCCAAGCCGCAGCTCTCGGCCGCCCAGCTGCAGATGGAGAAGAAGATGAGCGAGCCCGCCAGCGGCCAGGAGCCCGTCAAAGTCTCCCAGGTGGAAAGTCCTGAGGCCAAGGGAGGCCTGCCGGAGGAGAGGAACTGCCTGGCCGAGGTCTCCGTGTCCAGCCCCGAAGTGCAGGAGAAGGAAAGCAAAGGTCGGTATGAACAGAGTTGCCACCCCAGCGGGGCGCGCAGCCCGGCAACTCGGCGGAGAGGGAGTTCGCCCGGGTGCCCTGCTCCAAGCTCTGGGCAGCCAGGCGGGCGCCCAACTCAGCAGGTGCTGCTCATCCGGCTTTTAGAGGGGGCGATGCCCGCCTGGAGATGCCTCCCCGCTGCCCTGACCCTCCCCATCGGTCCGGGGTCCACGCCGATGGCGCCGGGACAGAAAGGGAGGGCTTGCCTGCCGGGGATTTTTATTTATTTTCCTGAGCTAGAGAGAAACGCAACAAAGAGCGCAAAGAACTGCGGCTCATAAACACCGCCCAGAGCCTCCTTTCTCCCGCTCAGAGTTGCATCCCCAGCTTTGCTTTACGCCCAGTGACGATTTTTAGGCTATTCAAGGCACCGTGTTTGTGTTCAGATGTATACACCCCGCTTCCTGCGAGCTTGGTGCGGGTGGTGGGGGCGGCGAGGAGTGTGAACTGGCCAGAGTAGGTCGGTGCTTGGGCTAGATCACAGCGCTTCCTGGGCAGGATAACCTTGGCTTTGTCTGGGGAAAGCGTCATCCGCAAAGGGGGCAAAGGCGAAGGGGGGAATGGGACCCACTTACCCCACCCGCAGGGCCAGCCTTAGGGCTAGACTATGGGAAAGAACCCACCGCTTTGGCTTTTTGAGAAGGGATCCTGCTCTGGAGCCCCTCTCCCACTTCTCAGAAGGTGGGTCACAGTAAGAGCTACAAATCTGGAGGAAATGCTTTTGTGAGGGGGTGGAGGGCCCCAGAAATCCAGGGGACTGCAACAATACTAAGGCAGGGTGGAGAAGGTGAACTAGCTTCCTCATTTACCTTTCCAAGGAGAGTGATCACCTAGAAAGCTGACGGAGAGTTCCCCCGCCTAGGAGGAGAGGAAGCATCCACGGACTGAGGGACCTCAAGGCTGAAGTGGGTTTGGCAGGCTTGATTTGAATGTGACTCAGTCCACGCTGGCCCTCCTATGAGCTGACAGAATGTTGCTTGGAAGATCTAGGAAAGTTTACTATTATACTAATGTTTTGTGTAAATCTGTATGTTTGGTGTAAATTGAGAAATGTAGAGGGCAAGAGTGCCCTCCTATTGCGTCCTTTTGGGCATTTCACTTTACTCTGATATTAACTGAAAGTCCCTTCCATGGCCCACCTCGTGTGAATAATGTTTAATATCAGCATTTCCCAAAGCAGCCTGGCTGGCAGCAGGGTCATGGCCAAGGGTACATTTCAACAGACTGAAAGGGGGGAAAAAATCTTGATTTTCTTTCTTCTTCTCCCTTTAATTTTGTTAGAGGAAATCAAGTCTGATACTCCAACCAGCAACTGGCTCACTGCAAAGAGTGGCAGAAAGAAGAGGTGCCCTTACACTAAGCACCAAACGCTGGAATTAGAAAAAGAATTCTTGTTCAATATGTACCTCACCCGTGAGCGCCGCCTAGAGATCAGTAAGAGCGTTAACCTCACCGACAGGCAGGTCAAGATTTGGTTTCAAAACCGCCGAATGAAACTCAAGAAGATGAGCCGCGAAAACCGGATCCGAGAACTGACCGCCAACCTCACCTTCTCTTAGGTCTAAGGCCGGGCTGAGGCCAGGATCGAAGAGGAAGCACCGCGTTCCGGGGTCGAATGCTGGAGAACTGGGAAGGCGGAAACAAAATCTTCATCGCTCTTAGTTTTTTTGTTTTGTTTTGTTTTTCCTACTAGAATGTGACTTTGGGGTCATTCTGTTCGTGCTGCAAGTGATCTGTAATCCCTATAAGTGTATATATGTGTGTGTATATATATATATGTATATATGTGTGTGTATATATATATATACACATATATATATACACAAACATATATATATAACTAGCACGTGTAATTTATTATTTTTTCCATCGTAATGCAGGGTAATTATTACTGCGCATTTTCATTTGGATCTTAACTTATTGGAACTGTAGTGGCATCCATCCATCCACCCAGCAATGTGACTCTTTCATGTTTTTCCTAACACAAAAGGTCTGTCTTGTGGCTAGTTCATGATCTCATGGCATTTTGAATACATCCAGTACTTTAAAAATTATATATATATATATACATACATACATACATATGTGTATATATATAGGTAAACCCACAAGCTTTGGGGGAGGGGGACTTTTAAAAAGCACATTACAATGTACTTTTCACAAATAAATTTAGCGTTTGTCTTTGGTGAGATGGAATATTGATAACTTATGCCTTGTAGCCTTTCCCTTGTGGTGCATCTGTGGTTTGGTAGAAGTACAACAACACCTTGCCCTTTCTGTGCATGTTATGGTTGCATGTATAATGCAATAAACTCTGGAAACAAGTTCGCTCTATCTGCTTTCTGGAATGGAAATGTGTTAGGGTGAAAATGAAAGCTTTCCGTGAGATTATCTTCCTGTTAAACTGCCTGTTTGGGGCTGTGGGTAGGGGGTTGATAAAGAGCAAGGGAGGAGAAATGAGATGGAGAAGCTGGAGGCTGGCGACCTAGGGAATAAAATTGGGCAGTGCCAAAGGCGGAGTGATAATCCAGCCTGCCTGGGCTGCTTCCACAGTTCTGGAGAAAGATAGTCCTCTCTCCTCTCACCCCACTCCTCAAAGCTAGTCACACAATTGTACTTTCTATGGGTGTAAGTTTCCCTCTAGTCTTCACTCTAGTTACTGCCTGGTTAAGTATGCCTAGACCTGGGGCTGTTTCTTTCCCACTCCCCTCAAAGTTGCCCACTTTGTGCCAGATTTTGACTGTGTTCTTTACAATGCTTCCAGTGGGGTCATTGGTGATTTCTGGTGGGGTCATTGGTGATTTCTGGTTGCCATGCCTTTTATCAGAGTTTGGATTGAAATCAGTCTTGCCCACCTGGAAGCAGTGAGACCTCCAATCTAGGCGATAAAACAAACAGCAGCTTAGCACTGCATCTTCTCCCTTTCCCTCGCCCCAACCAAACACAAGATGATAGCCCAGCCCCATTGCAGCTGAGTTGGGTGCTGTTTTCCACCCCACTCTGCCTTGGGTTCCTTGTGGAAGAAGTTTTTAGGTTTGCCTTTTAAAGACCATCATGAATTTTTTAAAAAAGAAGAAAAGACTCGTCCCAGTCAATCGTCTTCTTCTTGTTGACAAAATACTGGTCGGAGTCACTGTAAATGGGAGGCAAGGAAATGAACGAAGTGTGGCAGAAAGAGAATTTGCAAATGAACATAATTTCCCATGAAGTCCAATGTTTCAGCTTCCTCCATAGCTGGGGAAACTTGGGCCAAGTTTCTGGAACTTTAGCAGAATCCCAGTCCAAGAGAACAGACTGCTCAGGTCTAACCCAGGAGAAGGGAGGAGAAGCCTTGGGGAGAAGAGCTTACAGAATTTGTACCTCAGGTTGTGCTGTGGTTTCAAAGGGTCTCTTTGACAGTCCCAGGTATTTTCACAAAACAGGTCCCTTGCATTTTTTTTCCTCTTTTGCTAAAAACAGTCTTTTAGGTGCTCTAAACGTGAGGACTTTCTCCCAGAAAACATGGGGACACATTTTAAGTTTTAAACATATGAAAATCAGGAACCTTCCTGAGTTCTATAGAGAGCCATTTTCTGGAAGCTGGAGCTGCCAGGCTGGAAACACTAAAATCCATCTGACCTAAACTTCCTTTGGTTTAGGGAAAGCTCCTTTGAACTTGCTGCTTCTCCCAGCACCATTAGTTGTTGACAGGGGGCCATGTTTCGGAGGAAAACCTGTACTTCACAGGCAAAAGCAGTTCCTCTGGAACAAAATCAGAAAGCCACTGGCAATGCCATCAACCAGGCCATAAGTAACCATTTCCTACTTTCTTTTCTGGGGCTCGAGGTGAGCAGGGAGCTTATGAGAGTGCACTGGGCAACTTGTAGAGCGCACAAGATGCTCTCTGCAACGGCGCCGGAGCAAGCCGCTTTTGTCTCTGCTCCTAGCCGGCCTCTTTTGAGGCTTTGTACCATGGATTTGGGAGTGACAATGGGCATTTCCCTCAGATTCAAGGCTACCTAGTCTTATCTCTGGACACAAAAACAAAACAAAATAAAAATTAGGAGTAACCCTAAGACCAGGCCTTTCGGTGGGATTTTTCAGACATCCCCGAATCCACTCGGAGGGTCCCTTAGTGCGAACGTCGCGAAGCCACCCTGTCTGGGTAGACGCAGCTCATCTCATTGAGGCAGGGCCGCCGAGGCGCCGGCATTTGGGCTCTGTGGTGTGTTCTCTTCTAGGACCCTTCCCAACAACCGCGGATGCGGAGATGAGCGTCCTGGCCGCTGTTACGGATGTGCTTCCGACTCACCGCCCGCTGGCCCTTCCTAGAGTGAACAGAAGCCCCAGCTCCCCCGGCCACAGCGCAGCCCTGGGCCGCGGCGTGTGCTCAGCCTCACGTCGGGGGGTTTGTGGCCGAGCGCACGCGTGTGTGTAAGTGTGGCGGGGGAGGGGGCCCTCCGAGCTGCTCCATCCGTCCGTTTTATTAGGGACACATTAATCTATAATCAAATACACCTCATAAAAATTTTATTGAAAGGCATAATATCATTACAGAGGTCTTCCACCTGTTTTAAACAACAGACAAGCTGTAAGCGAGAGTGTGTGCGGGGGAGGGGGGCTTGGGTAGGAGAGGATCGCGGGGAGAAGATCTCCCCCCTCAGGCGCCGAGAGACCGCTCCAAAAGCCAGCCCAGCCTCGAGCCGCCCCGGCCAGGCGCGCCTGGCTACTCTAGGCTGAACGCTCCGGGCGCCCCAGAGCTGGGGAGCCAGTGTCGGGGGTCCAGACTGCAGGACCAGAGCGGCCAGAGGAGGCGAAGAAATAGTCCCCAGCGCCTCCTCCGGCTAAGGCTGGACCTGTCGTCCCAGCCACCACCACGCGGGCCAGGCCGGGCCAGGCGCCTAAGCCTACCCGGCGGGCTCTAATTACGCGCTTATGTTGATGATGATTTAGGAAAAAAAAAAAAAAAAAAAAAAAAACCGCAGCAGCCCCCAGTTTAGCGGACGGATTTACTCCGGGTATTGGTAAATATGATCACGTGGGCCGCGCGACCAATGGTGGAGGCTGCAGCCTGCGAACTAGTCGGCGGCTCCGGCGCCGGAGGGGAGCGGCGCGGCGGCGGGCAGTGTAACCTTGGGTGGGAGCGCTCGGTGCCTCAAAATGTCCTCCAGTGGCACCCTCAGCAACTACTACGTGGACTCGCTCATAGGCCATGAGGGCGACGAGGTGTTCGCGGCGCGCTTCGGGCCTCCAGGGCCTGGCGCGCAGGGCCGGCCCGCAGGTGTGGCCGACAGCCCGGCCGCCGCCGCTGAGTTCACTTCGTGTAGTTTTGCCCCCAAATCGGCCGTGTTCTCCGCCGCGTGGTCCGCGGTGCCCGCCCAGCCCCCGGCGGCGGCGGCGATGAGTGGCCTGTACCACCCATATGTGCCCCGGGTAATTATTACTGCGCATTTTCATTTGGATCTTA